CTTTATTCTGTTTCATTGGTTTATATGTCTTTTTTTTTTTTTTTTTTTCTCCTGAGTTGGAGTCTCACTATTACCCAGGCTGGAGTGCAGTGGTGCGATCTTAGCTCACTGCAACCTCTAATGCCTGGGTTCAAGCAATTCTCCTGCCTCAGCCTCCCGAGTAGCTGGGATAACAGGCACCCATCACCACGCCCGGCTCTTTTTGTATTTTTAGCAGAGTCGGGGTTTCACCATGTTGGTCAAGCTGGTCTTGAACTTCTGACCTCATGATTCATCCACCTCAGCCTCCCAAAGTGCTGAGATTACAGGCGTGAGCCACTGCGCTTGGCCCAAAGTGATATTTATGAAGGCACAATTAGGGATTAAATGAGACATATCTTACATTCTGAGCTAGTGACAGAAAAATCCCCATCCCATAGCATTTGTGGCTGGGATCTCAGCAGTCAGAACAGACCAAATTCTTACTGCTTCAGGACTGACTGGAGCAATGACTTTTGGAAGCTTTAACTTTAGGTCCCAATGGATCTGAAATACGTGCAAAAGTTTGTGGAATATCAAAACATTTAAAAATCTGATAACTGTCAGCATTGCATTTGGACCCCAGCACATTGATAGTCGCTGGTTATTCTTGCTCCCTAAGCCTTGAACACTCGGTCTCTCTTTTTGTAAAAAGATTTCTAATTCTTCAAATAGGATATAGAGTTTACCTTCTTCACATTAATCCCAGAAATGTTCTGTGAACGTAAGATTATCTGTGAACTAAAGTGCACCCTGCTCCCAGAAAGGAGATCAAAGTATAGGATTTTGCACTTACCAGGTTTCCACAGACGTACATCCGTCTCCAACCAAAGCACAACATGCTATCACAGATCCTTTCGAATGTCCTAGGTAGCTGTTGCCATCAGAAAACAGGTGTGTAAACAGGGGCCAAGGGCTAAATACACTCATACTCCTTGTACAAGCAGGAGAGTGAAGGCTGGGAAGTTTGGCGTGTTCAGAGAATGTTTCAGACGGGGCTACAACAGAGAAGGTAAACAAGAGATGCCAGATAGCCCTGGAAGCAGAAGTTTAGGATGATTCTACATTTAAGGAACTCTCAGAAAATACTTGTACTTCATTTTTTTTTGGTTCTATTTTTGACCCTCGAGAGAAAAAGAGAATTGTATGCCCATTCCATATTATTATTTTATGACTGGCATTCTATGTCTCTAAGAATATGGCTCTCTACGTACACAGAAAATCCGCTTACCAAATGCCATTTCTCACTGGGAAAGTAACTGCCAGGGATTCAGTCTGAGCATGTGGGCAGAAGGGGACATCTTATCTCTGAGATAAAGTTTGGGACACCATGAGGTCATTTTCTTGCTGATAGGTAATTATCATATTACCTACAATGCAGTGACAGTGTGTGCATGGGAATTTGAGATGATCTCAGAAAAATACCTGTGAGACGTTCAAATCACTGAGAGCTAATATTAGCTCTAAGTTTAGATCAACTGAGAAGAGAACAAGAGAGAGAGACAGAGACAGAAAGAGACATCGATACAGAACAGAGAAAGAAATAATGAAACGGACAGGAGAAGGGAACACATAGATATAGAGACAGAGAGAAGCAAATACAGAGTTGGGGGAGAAATAATCAGGGGGAAACGTATGTGAGATGTTTGGAGAAATCAGAAATGTTTTGTGTCAGACGGAGGGTATCAGCTACTTCTGAGAATCACAGCTTGTAAGGAGAAGGAGAAGGAGAAGGAGAAGGAGAAGGAGAGGTTCTTGAAGAGATCTCAGCCCAGCCTCTCCCCTGGGCTCTGCATTGTTATAGTTCCCTATGTCTCTCAACATGACTTTTATGGAGTTCCTCAATCAACCCTCCCTCGGCTGCGTCCTCACTAAGTTATTTCAGCCTTCTTGTGTTCTTTGAATTTAAATTTTGCTCTGGAGTCATTTTTTGACAAGAGTTTTGCTGTACCTCAGAGTTCAGGATCTGCAAGAAAAATCATCTTCTGCAACAGAAATAACTGATCCTTCAACTACTCTCTGTTCAGTGTACAACACGGACCACATGACCTAATTCCTCCATAGATGTATGTTTCCACTTATTCACCAGCTGAAGACCCAAGCTCCATGGATGAAGAAGCTCAGGGGCTCCTGAATATCAGGAATCCAAAGAGTGAAGGTCTGGGGCCGCCTCTCCTTCACTCCAGCTCAGCCAGTTCACCTAGGGTTTCTTCTTCCATTTAGTCTCTCATTAACTAATTCTTCATATAGGCAAGGACACCTAACATGTGACGTACACACATGCACATGTACAAATGTATATATTCTAAATGGTGGTGGTGTACTCTCACCAATGCACCAAGATGGAACAGTCTCTCGTTGTCGGAGATAATACCTGGAGTTCTTTTTTTTTCTTTTTTTTTTTTTTTTCTGAGACGAAATCTCACTCTGTTGCCGAGGCTGGAGTACAGTAGTGTGATCTCGGCTCACTGCAACCTCCACCTCGCAGGTTCATGTGATTCTCCTGTCTCAGCCTCCCAAGTAGCTGGGACTACAGGCGCCTGCCACCACACCCGGCTAATTTTTTTTGTTGTTGTATTTTTAGTAGAGACAAGGTTTCACCATGTTAGCCAGGATGGTCTCGATCTCCTGACTGCGTGATCCACCCGCCTCCGCTTCCCAAAGTGCTGGGATTACAGGCGTGAGCCACGCGCCCAGCCTATTTCTGCTTGTAGGAAGTGTGAATGTAGGTGGGAAGATGAATAACAAGCAGGTAAAGACCCACTACGTCAAACATATTAAGCACATGGACAAGTATACATATGTAGATGTAAACACAAATACATTCAGATGCAACTTACATAATTGTTTATAGATACATCTATGTAATGCTTTAGATATTTAATATGTAGTTATATATTAATATCTTACATGAGAAAAATTGGCATGCAATTTAGACATAAAGTGAAATTTCAATTTTCTTGTGAGTTATGTATATTTTATTAGTAAATTAGAGGGGATCAATTGAAAATAATTGGAATTAAGAAATTCTGTAGTAAGTTGGTATAAAATAAAATAAATGTACTCAAACCAATTACTGTACCATGTATACCTAGCTTTTATTTATAAGGAATCAAAGGCCTCATTTACAGATTATTAAAGTGATTGAATAATTGTTTACATTGAAATAAATATATAAAATTCTTATAAATAAAATTTCAAGACACTTCTTAAGTTCATCAATAAACCTCAATTTTAAAAGTTTAGGATAGGAAAACTTAACGTAAATAAGAAACTATTTTCTAAAGCAAATATATAAATGAAATCAAGTCCCAAATTAAAATGATAAGTTTATATATTCATGTATTGCTTTAAATGTTTCAGAAGAACAGAGAGGAACAATAGACAAGTGTGCACGGAAAAGGCAGGGTAGAAATGAATGACACACAAGCCGTGCTGTGACTAATTCCCTAACTCATCCAGGGAGCAGGTGCACAGCCCCTCCTTAGTCTCAGGAGTTCCCTGAGCACAGAGGCCTCCAGGTGAGCACAGGAGGGACCGTGTGAGCGGCACCCACAGCTGGGGTGCTTCTCTCTAAAGGAGCAGGTCTGGGGCGGACTCCAACCTCATCACAGTCAGATCCCACCGAGGCCTGAGCAGCCTCCTTTCCTGTCCTCAGAGGACTCAAGGACCCCGCAGGTGTGGGTGAGGGGTTCATCCTCAGGAGCTCTTGGCAATGAGAAATAAGAGCTGCCAAGGGAGCGGCCGTCTTTCCTCTCTCCAACTTGCCTGCCTCTCTTCCTCCTCCATCAGCCCCAGCATCTTCCCTGTGTCCAAGTCAGGCTGGACCCCAGCTCCTCCTGACCCAGCCTGTGCTCCTTCCTCTACTCATCACCCATCCTGCAGGACAGGGTCGGGGCCTGGGAGTCATGAATAGCTGTGCTGAGTGTTGCTTTTAGTAGAAAATCTGAACCACTTTGTGTGATACATGAGAGAGGGGAGATTCTAAACCAGTGGGATTTTTACAAATCTTTGCTTTCTCCTAATATTGTGGCTTCATCTCACGAATCTCAGACCCCAGCACTGATGGATACAATTACACGTACCTGCAGCTGCCTCTCCTGGCTTGGTAACCCTTGCAACACATAGTTATTGGTAGGAGTCGACCAGGCCCAGGGAGGGTTGGAGACTGGGGCAGGTCTAGGATGAGCCACAACCCAGATGCCCCAGGAGGTCAGAAATGAAAGGGCTTTGGGGGGTCACTTCCAGGCAGCTCCTTCTTATTCGGATGGGAAAACCCAGGGTGGGAGGGGAAAAAGCTTTCTCAGAAGTTCTGAGGTAGGATGTGGGACTTTGGAGGCGGGGACTCAGACGCCACCCCAGATTGACACCTAGTTAATATAGGGCGGGAGGAGGGGTAGAAGCCGCTGTTCTTAAGACACGCCCACCAGCGTGGCATCTCAGTTTACCGTTGCCATGGCAACGCCCGGAAGTTACCGCCCTTTTCCAAGGCGAAGACCCACTGACCGGAAGTTACCACCCTTTCCTAGGAATTTCTGCATACGTACCCTTTAATTAGCCTATAATTAAAAGCAGGTACAAGAGTGACTGCAGCTGTGTTTCTGAGCTGCTGTTCTGGGCACACTGCCTGGGGGGCAGCCCTGCTACCTGAGGCGGAGTACCTCTGCTGCTGCTGTGCATGGCCGCTTGACGAGAGGTTGGCGTAACCCTTAAGGGGTTAGGTAACACTAGCTCACCCTTAAATTTTGTTTTATTTTATTTATTTATTATTTATTTTTTTTTTTGAGACGTAGTTTCGCTGTGTTGCCCAGGCTGAAGTGCCATGGCGCCCTCTCGGCTCACTGCAACCTCCGCCTCAAGCTCCTAAGTGACTGGGATTACAGGCGCCCGCCACCACGCCCTGCTAATTTTTGTAGTTTTTTAGTAGAGAGGGGGTTTTACCGTGTTGGCCAGGCTGGTCTCGGACTCCTGACCTCAGGTGATCCACCCACCTCAGCCTCCCACAGTGCTGGGATGACAGGTGTGAGCCACCGCGCCTAAATTCTTTCTTAGGCAAAGCCAAGAACTGTCCTGGGCTATGCCCCAATCTGGGAGCTCACCTTCCCCGCATCGTCGAGTGACCAGGAAAGGATGATGAGGACAGCGAGTGAGAGGCAGAGAGACTTTCAGCCGAGGCAGGGACAATTAGCAGAGAGGCGAGATGGCTGGACAGCAGAGATGGTGACAGTCAGCGATCCAAGGAGGGGTGGCAATGGGTGAGAGACACGGAGAGGTGGCACTGGGCAAGACAGCGAGAGGTTGCTGAGACAGGTGGAGAGACAGCGAGGACAGGGCAGTCTGTGATCAGGGCTCCAAGAGCGGTCACACTGAGGCCGTAACGATAAACAGCTGCTAATACTGCAGAGCTGTCATACTAACCAGAGGCTTTGCCCTTGGCGCCTTCATCTTTCCCTGGCTGGTGGTGGAGCTCAGCGACGGGCAAGCAGGTGAGACCCCCGCTCCAACCGGCAGGCCCATGGGTTACCAGTCCCCGCACTGGACCCCTGGGTGACAGCTGAGCCCACCCAAGCGGGGGGATCCTGCAGAGACCTTCACCTGGGCCCCATGTGGAAATGTTATTTAGGCTCTTGGGGATGGAGAAGTATCCCCTTTGCCTCCCCACTAATATCTGGTGAGCTATATGGGTAATGCGTGCCCTAGACACCTAAACCTCACCAGAACACAATGCATCCATGAAAGGAACCTGCGTGTGTAGCACCTGAATCTAAAAAAATAGAGTAACGTTAAAACAACAACAACAGCATCCAAAAGCCGGGTGAGGTGGCTCACGCCTGTAATCCTAGAAGAGATATTTAATTTGATGGAAAATTTTATAATTCTCTAAAATGTAGATATTGTCTAAATAATTTAATTAGATTTATCAAAGCAAGAACTGTCTTTACTTTGAAAAATATTGTATTTATTTACTCAAACAATGAAGAAGTTAGTGGATTACAATGTGATTTAACTAGTACTAAAATTTGGGAACTATTAGAATGCTGGTAAAGTACAGATTAGTTAAAAGAAATAGGTGCTTTAGAAAATCAAGGTAATTTCTGAAAGAATATATAATAATCAGTAACAGTTTGGTTCCAGAGTTATAAAGAATGGGGAGAAAAGTGGGAGAGCAAGAAAAGAACACTAATTTATGCACACAAACAGCTTCAAACTTCTTAGGAAGGAAATGTTTTGTCACAACAAATAGCATAAATTTAGCAAATTTGTATTAGAGACCAATAAACAAATCCAAAAAAGAAGAAGAGGGGAGTGGTCTACGGAATCCGAGAAGAATCTTACAGATGAATTTATATTATACTAAATAAATGTAGAAGGGGAATAATAAAAGAAAGAGATTCACGAGAAAATATCTGTGAATTTTAGATCAGCTGGGATTATAGATTCCATGCGCCCTTAAAAAACAAGAATTCATGAAAAAGAAAAGACCTTCTCCTTTTCTTTATCAAAGTGATCTTGATGGAGGCACAATTAGAGAATAAATGAGGCATATTTTACTTCCTGGGAGAGTAACAGGAAAATTCCCATCCCACAGCTCTTACGACTTAGATCTTAGCAGTCAGAACAGAACAAGCTTTCACTGCTGATGAACCAAGTACAATGACAACTCTGAGAAGCTTTAGCTCTACATCATGATGGATTGGGAGCAGGTGCAAAGCCTGTGGGCTATCAAAGCACTTTGACCTCTGGTAAGAGTCAGAGTCATATTTAGACTTTAAAATACTTATATTCTCTAATTATTTCTACTCCCTAATCCTTAAAAATGTAGCCACTTAATATCAAAAAGATATTTTTATTTCTCTGGATGGAAGAGAGAGTTTCCATTCTTCACGCTTAATCCAGAAATTCTCTATAGACGTAAAATCATCGGTGGAAAAAAGTGCATACTGCTCCCCAGGACCTATCAAAAAAGTGATGCAGGTTTATGGTTTTGTACTCATCACAGAAAGTTTTCGGAAACTCACTGGCGTCACCAACCAAAGCACAACATGCTGCCACCACAGATATTTCTAAATGTCCGAAGTAGCAGCTTCCGTTGGACAACAGGAGTGTAAGCAGGAGCCAAGAGTGAAACATGCTCTTCACCCTCTTACAAAGACTGTGAGGTTTGGTGTATTCGTCCAGAGAGACTTCAAATGCAGCTATCACAGAGAAGGTAGACAAGAGATGTCAGGCATCCCTGGGGTGAGAAAGTTTGGGTGTTTCTGTCTCAGAGACAATATCCCTGCTTCTTGTTTTTTGTTGTTTTGTTTTGTTTTTTGTTGTTGTTCAGTTTTTACTCTGAGGGATAAAACGAATTATATGTCCACACCATATTTTTATGATAAACATTTCATTCCTCTAAGAATGAGCATCTGAACCTAAAAAATTAGGTCCACTTACCAAATGCCATTTTTTGGCGGCAGAAGTAGCTGCTGCCATCATCACAGTCTGTGCATCTGTGCAAAAGGGGCATCTTATCCCAGAGATAAAGTTTTGGGACACCATGAAGTCATCTCCTTGCTGACAGGTAATTACCATTTTATCTGTAGGTACAGTGACAGCGTTCACATGGGGATTTGAGATGATCTCAGAAAAACACTTGTGAAATGTTTAAATTACTGTAAGTTACTAATAGCTATTAGTTGTGATCAATTGGAGTTAGTTTGGCAGAATATGAAAATCTTAGTTGTAATTTCTTTTTTTTTTTTTTTTTTGAGACAGATTCTCATTCTGTCGCCCAGGCTGGAGTGCAGTGGAGTGATCTCGGCTCACTGCAACCTCCACCTCTTGGATTCAAGTGATTCTTCTGCCTCAGCCTCCTGAGTAGCTGGGACTACAGGCGCGTGCCACCATGCCCGGCTATTTTTTTTTTTTTTTTTTGTATTTATAGTAGAGATGGGGATTCACCACATTGGCCAGGCTGGTCTCAAACTCTTGACCTCGTGATCCGCCTGCCTCGGCCTCCCAAAGTGTGATCCTCCTGCCTCGGCCTCCCAAAGTGTGATCCTCCTGCCTCGGCCTCCCAAAGTGATGGGATTAGAAGCATGAGCCACCACCCCCGGTTATGTAATTACTTTTTTAAGGACACTGAAAATAGGGCCTCCAATCTCTTCTGGCTTCTAAGATTTCTACTGAGAAGTCTGCTTCTCACCTGATGGGGCTTGTAGGTGACCTGTCCTTTTTTTCTAGCTGCCTTTAAGGTCTTTTTCGTTTGCATTTACATTGATAAATCTGATGACTGTGTACCTTGGGGATGGTCATCTTATATATAATATCTGGCTGGACGTCTCTGTGTTTCTTGGATTTGTGTGTCAAACTCTAGCGAGTTTAGGAAAATATTCATGGACTGTATCCTCAAATATATTTTCCAAGTTGCTTATTCTCTCTCCTCTTTCAGGAATGCTGACAAGTCATATATTTGGTCTCTTTAGATAATATATTTCTCAGAGATTTTGTTCATTTTTAAAAGTATTTTTTCTTTATATTTGACTGATTTGATTCAAACAAGTCTTCAAGCTTTGACATTCTTTTCCTCAGCTTGGTCTATTCTGCTGTTAATGCTTCTCCACATATGATGAAATTCATGTGAATTTTTCAACTCAAGTAGTTCAGTTTGGGTCTTTCTTAAAATCTAATCATTTATGTCATTAATCACATTACTGGATTGCTTGGGTTCCTTGGATTGAGTTTCAACTTTGTTCTTGATTTGAATGACCTTCCTTGCGATCCAGATTCCAAATTCTACGTTTGTCATTTGAGAAAATTCATATTGATTAAGGACAATTTCTGGGGAGCTTGTGGGCTGGTTTGGAGGTACTAGGAGTTATTTCCCTGATTTTTTTCTCACCTAGGAGGGTTGCTATTCCTTTCATTGCAAGGGTATAAATTGAGTATAGTCTGCTGGCTTTATTTCTGGAAGTTTTCAGACAACTAAGGCATTGATGAATTCGTGCTCTTGGTTTCTTCCAGGCGGTACAATTGACTAGTGGTTTTTGGTGTTGTCGTTTGGCTGCGATCCAGTAGATGGCGCCTGAGAGCAACAGGCAACAGGCTCGCACTCCACTACCTGGTGCCTTTGCTGATCTTTGTTCTCGACCTTGATACTTTTGAAAAGGTCAGAGCCGTTTTTTTTGTTTTTGTTTTCTGAGACAGGGTCTCACTTTGTCCCCCAGGCTGCAGTGCAGTGGCAGGATCTCGGATCACTGCAGCCTCAACCTTCCTGGGCTCAGGTGGGTGACCCCCCCACCTCAGCCCCTGAAGTAGCTGGGACTCTAGGCGTGCGCCACCACACTCCGCTAATTTTTGTATTTTCAGTAGAGAGGACATCTCACCATGTTGCCCAGGCTGGTCTCGAACTTCTGGGCTTAAGCAGTCCTCCCGCCTCGGCCTCCCCAAGTGCTGGGATTACAGGTGTGAACCACCGTGCTCTGGTGTTTCTTCATGTGTAGCAGGACGAGCCGCGGACAAAACCCCTCAGACACCGAGACAGTAAAGGGAGTGGCTTTAATCAGCTGGGAGCCTCCGCAGGCTAGCGTCTTAAAATCGGAGCTGGTCAGGTGCTCAACTTCTGTCCCTTTGAAGGGCTCACGACTCTAAGGGAGTCTGCGTGAGAAGGTCGTGATCTGATTGACCAAGCCAGGGGGTATGTGACAGGGGCTGCGAGCAGAGCACCGGCGGTCAGAGTGAAACAGAACAGAACGGGAGGTTTCACAATATCCTTCCAGACAACGCCTGGAATGTACAGATAACAACAGTTGCTAGGTCAGGGGTCGAATTTTAACTGCCAGGCTTAGGTCAGGCAGGCCCAGGCCTGGTTTCGGGTCTGGTTCCTGGGCGCCAGGCTACCTGCCTTTAGTTTAGTTTTTAGTCAGATACATCCCTTGTCCTCCTCTGGCTCTGCAGATCTCACCGTCACTTACACTCTACGTCTCTGGCCCCAGAAGCCCTTGTTCCCCTCATTCCACCCTCACACTTGGGGCTTGCCTGGGAGTGAGATCCACAGCAACCTGTCTGATGCCTCGAAGAACGTTTGGGGTTAAGACGGGACTTCCTCACCTAAGAACAGGAGCCCCAGGGAGTCGCTGGGGTCCGACCGCACCTGAAGGGTGTTCCTGTTGTTGCCATAGCATCTGAACACCCACCTGTGGCTGAGGGTCATGGGGCCCACAGGGAACGGGGCTTGGGACTGTCCACTAGGGTGTTGCTGAGATTCTCGGGTGCAGGGGAGACTGAGTCCTCCTTCCTCAGTCAGAGTGAATCTGTCCAGTTGCAGCCGTGAGCCACACTGGAGGGTCCTCTCTTAAAGTCACAACAGGCTCAGGGGGGCTGAGAAGGTAGATTGGCTGTAGAATCCTAGGAGAGAAGGAGGCCGTGTGATCTCTGAGGCTCAAGCCTCCCACCTTATCCCTTAGGGCTGGGCTGTGAGGGAGAGACACCCCTGAGTGCAGACCCCTTTCCTGAGGGCAGAGCCTGGGGCTGGGACCCCAAGGTGTCCTCCCACCTGTCACCACCAGCTCCAGGGGGTCAGTGAGCTCTGACAAGTCACTGGGGCTGAAATAGTGACAGTAATGTCATCCTACATATTCATTTGTTATGGACGTGATAGGAGAACTCAGCCTGTCTCCAGGCTGCACTGGGCTCTGTCTGTCCCAGGGCACTGGGCTTCCCTCCTTTTTTTTTTTTTTTTTTATGTTTCGTAGATGGAGTCTTGCTCTGTTACCAGGCTGGAGTGCAGTGGCACAATCTCGGCTCAGTGAAACTTCCACCTCCTGGGTTCAAGCGATTCTCCTGCCTCAGCCTCCCAAGTAGTTGGGACTACAGGTGCCCGCCACCACACCCAGCTAATTTTTGTATTTTTAGTAGAGACGGGGTTTCACCATGTTGGCCAGGCTGGTCTCGATCTCTTGACCTCATGATCCGCCTGCTTTGGCCTCTCAAAGTGCTGGGATTACAGGCGTGAGCCACCGCACCCGGCCCTGGGCTTCCCTCTTTATCCAGTCGGTACTCCTGGGCCTCCAGGTTCCCCTGACACCAGACACACAGGCCTCTCCCAGGTGATCACAGAGCCTGTCTCAGCCCATGGGGAGGGTTTGGGGAAGGAATGGTTCCTGAAATGGAACCAGAGACTGGATCCCAAGATCTCTTTCACTCCCGGTCCTCCAGCTTAGTCCAAAACCCCTCTCTGTTTTATCACCCTCAGCCCAGAACGACTGTGCCCCCCCAACCCCGAGAGCCCAGGGGCTGGAGTAAGAGAGGCTCGTGGAGAACCTGGTAGCCCCTTCTCCCTCCATCACTGACTGAGGCAGAGAAGCACGAACATCGTGATGCCTGTTCTGGGGGCTCCAGCTGTGGGAGAGGAGACCACAGGGCCCTCCAAGACAGAGAGATACACGGATGTGGTCACTCAGAGCCTGCTGCTGCCCGTCCAGGTCCCCACAGCTGTGGACCCACAGGAAGGGAAACTGCTTTTCCCTGGGCTTGGCTCTGGTTTTCCCTGGGTGGGGAGGGGGGTGGCTCGGGAGGACCCCAGACCCTCTGGACACATGAGCCTCTGCTCCCCTCCCCTGCCCCAGGTCACCGTCACTGCTGCAGGTGGGAAAGGACAGGCCCCTATGGAATCGGGTCCTGGGAGGCTTCCCTGGGAGGTGTCCTCACCCAGGAGGTCCCAGCTGGGAGTCAGAGCTGAAAGGAACTTCCCCACCCGGAGGCCTCTCGCCGTTACACTTGGAGAAACTGAGGCCCAGGCAGGGGAGGGGCCTATCCATGTCACCATCACCAGAGGAGCCTCAAACTGATGATGGAACTCAGCCCTTCCTCCCCTGGACCCCGCCCACCTCCCACTCAAAGCCCTGCACTCACCACTGTGGAGGTCTGACCCCATGGGGGTGAGGGGCTGGTCCTCATGGCCTGTTAGGTCAGGACAGGCAGGGGAGGGCTGGGGCTGCCCTGCTCCCCACGTCAGCCTGGCTGCTCCTTCCCCAGGCTGGCCCCAGCATCTCCCTCTGCCCGCCCCTCACCAGCCCAGCCTGAGCCCCTGGGAGCCTGTGGCCCCTCCTCTGGCTCTGGAGGGAAGCCCGTGCTTGAGTCCTTCAGGGGAATGGGATCCTCTGGGAGACTCAGGACTGTCCTGCGTGCAGGAGGCCGCCCTCTCTCCGAGCCCAGAGGCCTCAATGACTCACCCGGTGTGGAGGAGGAGCCTGTGGGTTGGGGGCTGGGATCCCTGGAGGTCCTGGGAATGGGCACAGAAAGGGACTGAGGAATTGGAGCTATCCTGCAGGCCCCACCTCCACTCAAAGCTCTCCCCTCCATCTGCCCAGTGGCCTCTCCAAGACCCTCCCTCTTCCCACCTAGCACCTTCTGGACTCCAGGTGAAGGAGAAGAGGGTGAACCCCTGTTGGCCTCCTCTCCTCTGAGGGGCGAATTCCTCTGTGGCCGAGCCTCCCTCAGAGCCCCCTTCACTCCATCTCTGCCCAGAGCGCTCCTGGGGGCAGGGCCTGAGCCGAACCTTCCAACTTAGAGAGGGCAGGGTCAGGACCTTTCACCCAAGACCAACCCAAGACCACCAGCTCCGACTGGGGTGTGACAGCAGGTCGGGGAAGGTGCAGTCATGTGAGAATCTTGAAGCTGCCCATGAAGGGAGCGTTTATACCACAGTCATCAACAAATTCCACAAATAGATGCTTTTTAGAAAACGTTTTTGTCGTTGTTCAGGAAGCCAGTCTATGGGCACAACAGCAGGCTTTTCCATCAGACACCTCTCTTTTGATTCCTAGTGACTGTATTTCTAGGGAAACTACAGATGGAGAGTGACAGGTGGTAGGGCATCACTTTGAACTTAAATTTTGCAAATGCAAATCTGATTTTTGCACATGGATTTAATTATCAAAAGCAAATTCCATGTTATGAGCTGAAGAGATAGTCCCAGTAATACACATCAGAAAATGCACTAGCTAGAAATAAAGAAAGATGTATTACCTGAAAGTGGAGCAGAGCATGAGGTCACAGAGGGGCGGACCCAAACTCACCATAGGGGCAAAGCCTTCCATCATAGGGAAGAAAAAGGAAGGGAGGGGCAGTCAAGGAGAGTCAACAATGAGGAGGAAAGCACCACAGTTTAATGGAGGAAGCATCTTCTACAGACACCCAGACACCTTCCTGCACCTGACCCATGCTTCTTCCCCTTGATATTCTCAGCAGACACTTCCCCAACTGCTGCCCCAGTCTTGTAGAACCTCCTGGGATCATCAGATCTGTTCCCAGGGCTCCACCACTCTGAAGGGTGCATTGTCTTCTCTGCTGTTCACCTCCTGGCTGCACCTTGTGGGGCTTCTCTGGCTCTGCTGAGCCTCAAATAACAGAATCCCAAGGAACACCAGGACCAAGCCAGCTATACCCATGCGGATGAGATTCTCCACTGTGTAATCCTGGAGGTGTGGGGCTAGGGATGGTGGACAAAGAGGTCACAGAGGTCAGGGCAGATCATGATTACCCAGGACCCCTGGATGTCCACCCAGGGTACCCACCTCCCCTTGACAGGACCTGACCCTCTGTGCCCAGCCCCATAACTGGGAGCATCTCCTCACTCACCAGTCTTGGAATCTGACTTATTTTGTGCTGGATTGAGGGTCTCAGTTGCTCCTAAAAATCAAAGAACAAGGATGTTGGTGAGAAGCTGAAGAGCTTGTCCCCTGGGCTCTGCTTTCTTATATTCCTCCATCTCTTGTGGTGTGGCTTTATGCAGATCCTTAGTGAACACATTCTCTGCTCTAGCAGGCCTCCCCTGGTATGTCATTGGGTTTTTCAACCTCTCTCTGCTCTGGGAATTCAGATCTTGTGTCTGAGTCACTCTGGAACAACGTTTACTTGAGCCCAAGAGCTCAGAACTAGTGAGAAGAATGATCTCCCAACTAGAAAGAATTGAGCTCTTGTGTGCTGTCTTGGATGTGCAATCTTGTGCAACAAGAACACAAAAACTAATTCCCCCAGAGACAGAAATTTCCATTTTTCAGTGGATGAGGACCCAGTCTCTGTGGATGAGGAGTTGGTCCTCAGTGGCTCTTGAAAGTCAGGAGTACAAGGACTGAAGGCTGCGATGGCCCCCGCTGCGTGCTGCCTCAGCCAGCTCCCCTGCAGTTTCATCATTCATTTACTGTCTTGTTAACTAATTCTTCATACAGTTAGGAAAACCAACAATGTGATACACTTAAATATGAAAATATTTTTTTCTAAATGATAATGACTGAGCGGGACAGAAAAACATCATTTCTGCTTTTTTGAAGTATGAACCTAGATTGGAAGTTGAAAGCAAATATTTAAAAACATACCCGAACTTAAGTAAAATAAAAAATAAAAACAAATAAATATAAAAAAAGATGAAAAATATTAAGCATAGGAATGAATACTTGAATGTATGTTTGTGTCTATATATGTACATAGTACATATATTCATATAAAATATATGTGATTAACATGGCTTATAAAATATATGTGATTAACATGGTTTGCATTTGTGTCCCTTTGAAATCTCATGTTGAATCTTAATCCCCAGTGTTGGAGGAGAGGCCCAGTGGGAGGTAACTGGTTCGTGGGAGCCGACTTCCCCCTTGCTGCTCTCGTGATAGTGAGTTGTCATGAGATCTTGTTATTTAAAAGTGGGCAACACCTCCCCGTCCTCTCTCTTCCTCCTATTCCAGCCATAGAAGACGTTCCTGCTTTCCCTCCACCTTCCGCCATGACTGTAAGTTTCCTGAGGCCTCCCCAGCCGTGCTTCCTGTATGGCCTGTGGAACCGTGAGTCAGTTAAACCTCTTTCCTTTATAAATTACCCAATCTCAGGTAGGTTTCTGTTTGTTTGTTTGTTTGTTTGTTTGTTTGTTTTTGAGTTGGAGTCTTTCTCTGTCCCCCAGGCTGGAGAGCAATGGTGCGGTCTTAGCTCACTGCAGCCTCTGCCTCCCAGGTTCCAGAGATTCTCCTGCCTCAGCCTCCTGGGTAGTTGGGATTACAGGAACCTGCCACCACGACCAGCTAATTTTTGTATTTTTAGTAGAGACAGGGTTTTGCCATGTTGGCCAGGCTGGTCTTTAACTCCTGACCTCAGGTGATCCGCCTGCCTTGGCCTCCCAAAGCGCTGGGATTACAGGCGTGAGCCATTGTGCCCAGCCTCAGGTAGTTCTTTTTTTTTTTTTTTTTTGAGGCAGAGTCTCGCTCTATCACCCAGGCTGGAGTGCAGTCGTGCCATCTCAGCTCACTGCAAGCTCCGATAACCAGGTTAACGCCATTCTGCTGCCTCAGCCTCCCAAGTAGCTGGGACTACAGGCACCCGCCACCACACCCGGCTAATTTTTTCGTATGTTTAATAGAGACGGGGTTTCACCGTGTTAGCCAGGATGGTCTCCGTCTCCTGACCTCATGATCCACCCGCCTCGGCCTCCCAAAGTGCTGGGATGACAGGCATGAGCCACCGTGCCCGGCCCATCAGGTAGTTCTTTATAGCAGTGTGAGAACAGATGAATACAATGATTGTAGATACGTATGTATATGTGGCTTTAGATATTTGTTTTAAAAAATATAATGTAACTACATATATATTCATAGTTGAGGTGAGAAAGAGGGGCTTACAATTTGGAAATATAAAAGTGAAATTTCCAGTTTTTTATGGTTGATATAAACATCAGCCTCAGCGTCTTCCCCTTGTCCACGTCAGGCCTGGACCCCCGGACCCCAAATCCTGCTCAGATAGGGGAGGACAGACCTAGCTCCTCTGCCCATCATCTGGTCCTAGGACACCTCCCTCCCCTCTGACCACCACGGAGGGAACACCTGCCCCATCCTCGGGGCCACAGGAAGCCACGTGGACCATGCCCCTTTTGTCCACTCTCCCCTCTGCTCCTCTGGGGAACAGACCCCTTTCCTGAATATTGGAGATAAGGTTGAGACAAGTCTAGAATATTATACTGGGTCAGAGTAACTGCGCTTTCATCTCCCATGGGGTCAGGACTTAGAGGTTGGGACACCTAGACGTTGATTCTGAGATGGAGACATCAGGAGGGGAGCGTGTGGGGCCTCCGTCTTCCACCCTCAGTCTAATCTCATCTCCTCCGAGGCTCACCCCCACCTCCTTCCAGTCCTCTCCACTCTTTACCCTGTTGAGACTTCAGGGCTGGGAGCCCAGGGTGGGATGTCCCCATCTATTTCCACACTCCCCTGGCTAGACCCTCCCCTGGGTGGGAGGTTCCTGTGTATTTCCACCCTCCCATGGGCTGGGCCCTACCCCTTCACTCTCCTGTTTTCTTAGTGTCCTGAGCTCTCTTGGGGGCAGGGCCTGCGCTGAGAGAGGCTCAGGGCTCAGAGAGGCTGGTGCTGATGGAGGAAGAAGAGGAGTGGGCAAGTGAGACAGACGGACGGACATTCCCTTGGAAGCTCTCCTTTTTCATTTCCGAGAACCTCTTCGAGCTCAGAGAGGACAGGGTCAGGGCCCTCACCTGAAACCACGAGCTCCAGGGGCTCACTGGAGTGAGACAGCAGGTAGGGGTCGGAGCTGCGTGAGCCGTAGCACCTGTAGGTCCCCGCGTGGGCCGAGGTCACAGGACTTATGGGGAATTCAGCCAGGTACTGCTGAGCTCTGTAAGTGGATCGTAGACGCAGCGGGGGATGGGCTGCCCCCTCCTTGGCCAGAAGGAAAGTGAACATCGGACCCCATGACTGACACAACAGGGTCACCTTCTCTCCTGAGGCCACTGTGGGGCCCAGCTGCACTGAGAGGGAGGGTCTGTCAGGGATCTGTCCTAGAGACAAGAAGGATGGGTGAAGGGTTGCCCCACCTCGTTCTGAGCTGAGCCACCCCCAGGCCTCTCTCTGGGACCCTCAGTCTGAGTCTCCCCTCCCCGCCCATCCCCTGTCTCTGTCTGTCTTTCCTTCCCTTGGGAACTCCCCGCCCCCATCCCGGCCATCACCACCTGGGCTCCCCTGGCAGGGCCTGTGCAGAGCCTGGGTGCCTGACAACCCGCTGGGCTCCTCACCTGCGATCAGGATGTCCAGGGGGTCGCTGGGGGCCGACCACTTGGAGGAGACATTGTGTGCACCGTAGCATCTGTACTGGCCCCCGTGGGAGCCCCTCACAGGGTTGAGGGTGAAGCTGGCCTGGGAGAGCCCAGCCTGGGACTGCTGTCCAGGGCGCTGGGGGAGGCCATCGCCCCCCTCCTTGTACAGAGCGTATCTGATGTAGCCGACATCAGAGCCACACTGGAGGGTCAGGTTCTCTCCGGGGGCCACGACAGGGCCCTGCAGGGTCAGGAGGGAGGGCTTCCTAGACACGCCTGGAGGGAAAGACGAGTCGGGACTCGGAGGGGCTGGTTCCTCCCGTGCCCCTTCCTTCTGGAGCCTTCCTCACTAGGGTTTCCAGTGTCCTTGTTTTTTTCTCATCCTGTATTTGTGTCCCCAGCGCCCCCGTCTTCCCCTCGTCTTTTCTTCGTCGTGGGCTAGCCTGAGGGTAAGGCTCCCAACAGCTCAGCCGCTGCCCTGACTTTGTGTAAGGAAAAGCTACGGCTTCTTACCTGACACCAGTAGCTGCAGGGGGTCACTGGGTTCCGACCACACGTACGGGGTGTTGTTTTCATAGCCGTAGCATCTGAACGTACCCCTGTTGCTGAAGGTCAGGGGACCCACGGGGAACAGGGCCTGGAACTTTCCATGGTTGTGTTGGTGTGAGTCCAGGGTCCAAGAGAGCCTGTGGTCTCCTTCCTCGATCAGAGTGAACCTGCCCAGTCCCAGCCGTGAGGCACACCGGAGGGTCACGTTCACTCCGGAGGTCACCACAGGGCTCGGCAGGGCGGACAGGCTGGGCCTGCTGTAGGCTTTCAGGAGAGCAAAGGGCAGCTGTGTTTGCGTGGGGCTCACACCTCCCACTTTATCCCACAAGGCTGGGCTGTGAGAGGGGCGACCCCTTGAGAGCTGAGAGCTGACCCCCTTCCCGAGGGCAGAGCCTGGGGCTGGGACCCCTGAGTGTCCTCTCACCTGTCACCACCAGCTCCAGGGGGTCGCTGGGCTCTGACCAGCCTGCAGGGCTGAGATAGTAACAGCGATATCGCCCTGCGTGTTCCCACATCATGGCTGGGATGGAGAATCTGACCTTGTTTTCGGACTCCAGTGTTTTTAACATGTGCCTCGACATTGAGTTTCCCTCTTTATCCAGACGGTACTCCTGGGCCTCCAGGGTGCCCTGACACCAGATGGTCACAGGCTCTTTCCAGATGATCACGGGACCTGGCTCGGCCCACAGGATGGGTTTGAGTAGGTTCTCTGGAAGGAAACCACAGGTTAGGTCTGAAGATGTCCCTAACCCTCAGATTCCGGCTCTCAGCCCCGGGACCCCCCGTCATCCCCATCAGTCAGCCCAGAACTGCTGTCTCCACCCCCAGCTGCCCAGGGGTGGTCCCTTGTCCCCAGAGAGGAGGAGGGACCTGGGACAGCTGGGGACAGACTCACCTGCCTGCAGGCAGGTCCTGGGGCCCAGGCTCAGCCCTGGAAGAGAGTTCCCTGTGAGAGATTTGCCCCCAAAGCCTGAGCAGGTCTTCTTCTTTTCCTTGAGCCCCTGGGGTGTCCTAATTGACCAAGGCCTGGCTATGGATTGGGGTCTCTCTCCTAGACTAGGGTCTCTCCTCCCCCTCTTAAGATCTCACCAAAGCAGAGCAGGGTTGTGAGAATGGGGGTCATGGCATCTCCTCCTCCTGGCCCTGGCTGTGCAGGCAGATGTGAGCACGGTGCCCGTAGACAGACAGACACATGGTGTGTAGGCACACGGAGGCTGGGTCCTCCCCATCACGAGGTCATCCCATCAGCAGCCCCACAGAAAGAGGAACTGCCCCTCCCCAGGAGCCTGGCTCTCATTTCCCAGGGCTTGCTCTGGGGGTGAGAACCAGACTCTGGAGATATTTCAGACACAAATGGAGACTCACAAGGGAGTCTTTAAGAAGGACGTTTTTGACTGGATGTCCTGGCTTACAAATGTAATCCCAGCACCTTGGGAGGCCAAGGTGGGTGGACCACTTGAGGTCAGGAGTTCGAGACCAGCCTGGCCAACATGGCACAACCCCGTCTCTACTAAAAATACAAAAATGAGCCAGGCGTGGTGGCACAAGCCTGTAATCCTAGCTATTCGGGAGGCTGAGGCAGGAGAACCACTTGAACTCGGGAGGCAGAGGTGGCAGTGAGCCAAGATCATGCCATTGCACTCCAGCCTGGGCAACAAGAACAAAACTCCATCTCAAAAAAAAAAAAAAAAAAGAATATTTCCACCTCTATGTGGCACAGCAAAGGAAGTCCAGGTTCCTCACAGACAGGGAGGAACCAGGGATCCAGGAGAAGGTGGGACGCTGTGGTTCCCCCTCTTCCGTGTTTGTACATGGGCACTGCCAGATCTCTGCTTCCTGGTGGGAGCCCATGAGGGGCAGAAAGAGGAACTACCCCTCCCCAGGAGCCCAGCTCTCATTTCCCCAGGGCTTGTCCTAGGGGTGAACACCAGGCTCTCTGGAGATATTACAGATAGAAATGAGCTCTCCCCTCACTTTGGCTGCGTCTATCTAATCTGTCCTTGTCTCACCAAGGGCCAGGATGTAGCAGCAAATGGACCCGGAGTCTTCCTGATTCAGCCCCTTCCAGGGGAGAGGGACTGACGGCTCCTCCTTCCCTCTCAGAGCCTCCCCAGGGAAGAGGCTGCATCTCCCCTGTGTGTGTGTGTGTGTGAAAAACAGGCTGTGTGTGGTATTGCCACACCTGGACATCTGTCCCACGTGTGA